TTTGACGCCACCTTAAGTCATATTCACTGCTCTGAATGGCAAATATATAAGAGAAATGTTTTGAAAAAACAATTAAAAAATATCAGTGGCAAGGGGAACGACTACTTCTCCCAGCTGTCCTTGGTCAGTAAACAATTGGTTGTTAGTTTGCTTATCTTAGATGGAGTTTGTTCACTTATTTTAATTTTCTTGTCAGACTGATTACACTTTCATTGTGATGACTGATTGAAAGGAAACAAGTCCAGAATAATCAATAATATAATTTTCATTGTATCTTCCTGGCTCTGTCTTAACAGAGATCCTCCAAGAGTGTATCAAGCAAATTCTATGCCAAATGTTTAAATGAATTGAATCCAGTTATATCCAGGATAATCAGGTTCAGTGAGGAAGACTTGGAGTTGTCTGGCAACCACTTGTTCGAGTCTTTTGCCCATAAAGGGAATATTAACAATCTGATATTGTTTAGATCTTCTGGGTCCATTAAATCATTCTTCAAAATCATAGGTTAAAAAAAAATACTTATGCATTCATATTATGCGGGTAACTAATATGCATTTTTTATTATATGTATTAGTTATTTAATTTAACAAGTTCCTCATGTCCTTATCATTTCTTGATTAGACTCCTAGAGTGTGCTCTACATTGGGTTGAGTTTTGAACATCTGGAAATTTTGAGCATGCCAATACAGCAGCCTTGTTACTCATGGGAATTATCAGAAAAGAACACCATTTGTGCCTCAGACCTTGCATTGGTTACCAATTGATTAATAGGCATAATTCAGAGACCTGGTTTTGACATATAAAGTCCAATATAACTTGGTGTTTAAGAACCTTCAGAATTGCCTCCTTCTACTTGAATAGGCCCATTCAATCAGTTGGCAGAAGTTTTTGATCTAAGCTTACACTTGTGAAGTAATAAATTGGAACCCAGAAGATGATATTTTTAGTTGCTGCTTCAGTCCAGTGGAAAATCCTCCTTTTAGAATTATGATTTCCTCCATCATTTCTAATGTTCGGGGTCTTACTGAAATTGGAACATTTCTGAAGAGGGTTTGATTGAATGGTTTGGGCTCATCTTTATTTTACCTTAGGATGTTTTTTATTTTGTTTGTTAGATATTAGTTTATTTGGTTGTGCTGTAATAGCTTAATTATTTTTCATTATCATGAAAAATGATAATGTCCAATTTCAGTCTGAGCAAACATACCAGCTTAATTTATAAGTGGTTTACTGATGAATAATACTGCAATCAATTACAGAGGGAGGCCGAGAGCCTGCTGTACAAATGCATACATGTGTACTTCAGAAAATACAGGGAAGTAAAGTCTTGTCTGATAAATGGGCACAATGTAGGTAATGTAGATGTTGAGTCCAGAAGCATGCTAGAGGAGGCAGATGGAGAAATGGGCAGCAACAGAGATGCATAGTTCACAAAAACCCAATAGTCAAACACCAGAGAAGTTAATAACCCTGTTGAAGTTGAAAGGATGAGAATTAAGGAACAGAGCATTGCATACTTTCTCTCCATGTAGACATAGTTCCATTGAAGACAATCCCACTGAGTGCAGTCGGTCAGCTAATTGAGACTCCATCAAGTGGTACTACTGACTATGTCACATTGCTCTGTTTTATCAAGGAAGTGGTTGCAGTCAACTTTGTCAAATGTCTTGCTGAAGTCTAAGTATATTATGTCCAAAGCAATTCGTGGTTCACTAATTTAGTTACTTTATCAAAAAAGGTTTGTCCAGCATGACCTGTTTATAACAAAACCATACTGGTATCTATTAATCACCTTGTTTGTTTCCAGGTTCTCACAAAGGCTTATTTTTTCCCATGATTTCCTCAGAGATTGATATCAAGCTGATTGGCCTATAATTTCCTTACAGTTCTGTCTTGGTCCAAGTAATCTTCAACATCTTTATAAATGATCTAGACAAGAGAATAGAAGGGGAACTCATCAAATTTGCAATCAACATCAAGCTGGGGGGAGGGGGGATAGCTAATACTTTGGAAGATAGGTTCAAGTTCCAGAAGGATCTTGACAGACCAGCGTTGGGCTCAATCCAATAAGATGCAAATCCTGTAGTAAGAAAAATAAGGCCTTCACTTAAGCAACAAAAACCTATTTTCTTGCTTTAAAATAGGTGATACTTGGCTCATCAGTAGTAACTGTGACAGGTATCCATTTAAGTATGGGCCAGCAGTGTGCTGCAGCTTTCAAAAAAGCCAATGCAATCCTAAGATAAACATAAACAAAGTGATAGCATCGAAACAACTAGAAGTGATAGCACCACTTTACATTGCCCTGGTGAGACCACATTTGGAATACTGCAAACAGTTCTAGTCACCATAATACAAAAAATATGTTGAGATCCAGAAATTGTGCACAGAAGAATAAAAAAGAAAAACATGATGAGGAGCCTGGGAGCTAAATCATATAACAAATGATTGAGGAACCTAAATATGTTTAGGCTATCGAAAAGGATAAGGGAAGACCCAATAACTGTATTCCAGCTTTGAGGGGCTGTTGCAAAGAAGAGGGGATTGACTTATCTTGGGCACCAGAAATCAGGACAAAAAGTAACAGGTGGAAGCTTGTCAAAAAGAGATCCAACCTAGAACTAAGGAGAAATTTTCTGACAGAGAAATTACATCAATGAAATAGGTTTTCTTCTGGGATTGTGGGTGCTCCATCACTGGAGGTTTTCAAAAAATAGATTGGACAACTATTTTGTATAAAACTCCTGCCTTGAGCAGCATCTTGGACTAGAACCTGGGTCCTCCCCATGGGCCGCATGTGGCCCGCCGAAGCCATTACTCCGACCCGTGCAGGACCATGAGGCTGCCTCGCTCACATTGCCCCGCCCACCCTTCAGCTGAGCACAGGATCTACCTTTGGGAGCCCCACGGGCTAGAACTGAAAGGTAAGGTCAAACAATTTTGGCCTGCAGAGACAAAAATGAGCCGTTTTTGCCTGTTGGGCCTGCAGAATGCTTCTAGAAGTTGCGGGGGGGGGGCTGAAAAATGGGACACATAGAAGCCCCAGAAGGCCAAAAATAATAGGCAAAATGGCCCATTTTTGGCCAAAAAATGAGCCATATTGCCTGGTTTTGGTCTGCAGAATGCTTTTGGGGGCGGGTGAAAAATGGGGTGCACAGACACCCCAGAAGGCCAAAAAACAGCCCGTTTTTCACCTTGCTTGCCTCTAGAAGCTAGGGACAGAGAGATAGACAGAGAAAGAGGAATAGAGAGGGAGAGACAGAAAGAGAGAGAGAAAGAAAGAGAAACGGAGAGAGAGAGAGAAAGAGAGAGAGGGAGAGACAGACAGGGATTTCTTAAGCTCCTTGGGGCTGAGAAGAATTGCTACAAAACTTGAGTTTTCTGAAGTGGACCACTAGACTTCTAAAGAACTGAAAAACAATCTAGTAAAAAGAAAAGGCAACCAAAAGAGCAACATGAAAACAAAAGCAAATAAAACACCCCCAGGAGCAAAACAAATTAAAGTTTAATTTGTGTGCATTGTTCAATGGACTGTTAAATTGGCCACACCCCCTATTCACATGACCTAGCCATGCCCACTCAGTCGCATGACCCACGCCTACCCAGCCGGTTTGCCCCCCCAACAGTCTGAGGGACTGTGAATTGGCCCCATTTAAAAAGTTTGAGGACCCCTTGACTAGAAGATCTCCAAGGACCCTTCCAGCCAGATGATTCTATGATTTCTGTGAACATGTACATAAGAATCCAAGGTTGCCACATTTTCAATAGAGAGGCAATTACTGGCAGATGTTCTTGAATAGGCCAGATTCAAGTATTACTCAGTTATGGGTATTACATCTTTGCTTCTTGTGGAGCCAAGTAACTTGCCTTTGTATGATTCTCCAAAGTTGCCAGTGCATCCTTTACTGGACACCCTCTTCACTTGACCCTTTCTGCTACTCCTGATCTGCCAAGTCAACTTCCATTGGTACACTGACAACCAGTTCCTAAGAGTGACAACTCCTCTGAGATTCAGAGACTGAGGTGCCTGATCCAGCAAGTTGCCATTCTTAGACATCTTATGAGTGAGAGGAGTTCGTAATTTATTAATACAAATTATAATAACAGTGGTTATTATGGAGTCCATAAAGTCACTTTGGTTATAGATTATATTTAAAATAAAAACTGGTTGTAAAGAGCAGTTAAGATCTCAGTATATTTTTGTCTTTATGTGAATTTGTTGTCATATTCTGGAAGATCTTATTATTTGATATTATCACATTCAACACCTGTATTCTCATTCCCTCCTTCCCTTTCCTCAAATGGTAGAGATACAATTACAGTTTTCATTCTGACATTACTAGTAATGAGCTTAAAAATGAAATTATTTTATGTTTTTTATCTGAGAATATACATCCACTGCAGCACATTAACATCTGTTTGACTTGGGTGTTCAGAAATCTCATGCAGTAACATACCAGCTTTTAACACCATATATCATCTCTTGAAACATGAGAAGACACAGGAATCAACTATAAAAATGTTGCTGTTTCTACAGAGGCCAACATCTAAAGATTGTAAATCTATAGTTAGATTCACCTTTTGCACGATGGACTTTAGTATTTGGGGAGGATGAATCTAACTAGAACCACATGCCAGCAGAAGCACATTTTTTAAATAACCATGCTATGCATGATTCAGTATGGATTTTTAAAGCAGAAATTCAGCTACCCTCAGTTGTTTTTTTAATTCCCACTATCCCTTTTAAGGATTTGTTGTAAAGCCCAACCAAAAATCATCAGGAGTTAGAACCGATCATGCAACCCAGCTCTCTTCCCTCCTCCTTTCCTTTCTGTCTTCATTTTGCAGTATTGTATTTCCACTATTTCCTGGTCTCACAGAAAGAGGCAGTGCTGAGTTAGAAAGACAAAAATAGACCTTTACAGAGAAATATAGGGATCGTAAGTGTGTGTGTGTGTGTTTGTATGCGCGTGTCCGTGTCTTTATGTGTGTGCGTGTTTGTGTGTGAGTGTGTGTGCACGCGCATGCTGGTGAGAGGAAGACAGCATTAGGCTGATTTCCAGGAGGAGCCTTCTCTCTTTTCACTGTGTGTTAGGCATTTTGTACAGATTTTCGTTCTGTTAAAAAACACTTACCTCTTCCGGAAGTTCTTTATATCTCTTTGTGGGAGGAAAAAGAAACCAACTGTGATCAGAAAACGGCCAGAAACCATTTTATTTGAACAACTGGTGGGAAGAAAAAGGAGAGATACCATCACAGGGATATAAATATCTTCTGATAAAAAATATTTGTTTGAATAGAATTATATATCAGTAGTGCAGCCTGACTTCCACCGTGAGGGAGAGCGATGGGGTGTTTGGGCAACAGCAAAACAGAAGACCAGCGTATTGATGAGAAAGCGCAGCGAGAAGCCAACAAAAAAATAGAGAAGCAGTTGCAGAAAGAGCGACTAGCTTATAAAGCCACACACCGTTTGCTTCTGCTGGGTAAGAAGAATGGTTTCTGCGGGGGAGGGGGGGAGAAGAGGGTGCAATAGTGCAGTTAGTTTTTCCGGGGAGGCAGATATTGTAGACAAACTGCTGTTACGTGTAGGAGAAAATGAGATGGAAATAATGCAGTCCTGTTTTATTAACCACAGTGGGTTTAAAATGGAGAGGTTTGACTAAAGTATGTGTAACAATATTTTGAGAGGAGAGAGATGCTTTCAACCTGTGTTTTCCTATTTTCTCCTCACCCCAATGTATTTACATCATGCATTTTTCTCTTCTTTTTCAGGGGCTGGTGAATCAGGAAAAAGCACTATTGTCAAGCAGATGAGGATCTTGCATGTAAATGGATTTAATTCAGAGTAAGAATTATTAATACGTATTGGGGGGGGGGAGGGAAATTTAAAAAGAATCCAAATAGGCCATTTGGAACTCATTAGCCCAAATAGAAGAACTGATATTTGTACACATTTTGTCGGTGTTGCCATTACACGATAAGCATGGACTTTACAATGACGCATATATATTGCAAGAATCATGAATTTGTATTCTCCTCCCCCCCCCAAATAAAATCTTGTCTTTCTACTGTATTTTACATTGTTGTTACTGCAGTGCTTAATAGGCCCTTGTGTAGCAACAACATGGCGACTACTTACAACAAATACTAAATATTGACTGTATGCATGATTAAAGATATATCATCCATTCATTTGAAATAACTATTACAGAAAAAATATGTAGTAATTTTCATCTTCAAATAACATGGCTTATTGTTAATAATATTTCTTTTAGATTTTTTTTAGAATTTAATAATAATTTAGATATGATTGAACTTCTAGAACTGAAGTCATACAACAAAATGAAGTATTTCTGTCCTACATATTTAATTATTTGACTTGCAATATATCATGCGATATTAATCATTTATTTTAGCTAGCTTGTATGCCAAATTGTGTATCAAGATACCAGTATAGTGATTAGGGAAAATAGTTTTTGGCATGGCAAATATTACTTGGTGAACATTTCAGAAATAACTCGAGTAACCAATTGATTTTTGCTGTTGTATACAGAGAAAAGAAACAAAAAATTCTGGATATTCGGAAAAATGTAAAAGATGCAATTGTGGTAAGGCTTTATTATTATTATATACACATTTAGCAATTGGATGAAACAAATTGCCAGATGATGCTAATTGAATTGCTATCAGTATTTAATATGTCCTGTTATTTTTTTTCCTAGACTATAGTTTCAGCAATGAGCACTTTAATACCTCCAGTTCCATTAGCTAACCAAGAAAACCAATTTCGAGCGGATTACATCAAAAGTATAGCTCCACTTTCCGACTTTGACTACACCCAGGTAACATTTCTGTTTCTTTCTCCTTTCCAATTTTCAAAAAGAATAGGAGTGCCTTATTTTCCATTTGTGAGGCCTGGACTTTGTAATAAAATTATAATTAAATTAATTGGTAGTGCAATAAGGAAAAAGAAGCTGTTCTGATATAATGCTACGTTTTACTTTCCTAAAATATTTAAAAAGATTATAGTAAATAACAGGTATGCAAAACTGCATCAGTTTTCAGTTTTGTGGTTTGTAAAATTTGAGACTGGTTTTAACTTCGCATAGAATGTTGGTGAAAATCAGTGATGCTTTATTATCAGAAAGATTATACTACTTGTAAAAACTGCATTTTCATCCTCATGAAAACTTTGATCCAATATTTTAATTTAGTTTGTGTTAGCCATTCTATAAACCATTGTACAGCTTGTAATAATTTATTTAGAGCAGAGGTTACTTGCATATATTACTCTGACATACACAAATGTTAAGGTTAAAAAATTTAAGCTCACGCCTTTCTTTTAGTCACCTGCATCTATCAGTCTAAATCGAGGAGATCTGCTAATAATTAAAGGTAATGCATAGAGCAAGAGGAATTGATGATGAAAAGAACACCATATAAAATTCAGAGTATACTAGATTTTACTCTCAGAAATCGGAGGCAGATCATAGACTCTTAGTAAGGAATATGTCTTCAAAGATTGTGGGTTTTTTTTAGATTATAGGAAAAGGCATTATACAGAAGGGGAAACAGGGCATAAGACTGAAGATTTGCTGGGAATAGAAAGGAACAGCTACTTCCTATTTCTTTATTGATGTCCTGCAGCCAATAAAATTATTGAATGATTGACAGAAATTTAAGATAGTTTGATTGTGTTCACAGCTGGCAAATAGCAGTAAAATGTTCTTTTCTTTGTTGCACTCATTATGTTGTAAATATAATCTGAAAAAAAATACATTCAGGACTACTACTAGAATTGATCAAAATGAATTATGAGGATTCATCTGTAATAACGGAGATTTTTTTGTGTTTCTTCTATATAAGTAACTATATCATTATGTTGTCACTAACTATGAATCCTGAATTTTTTTAGTCTATTTCTCCTGTTTTCTTTTTGGGATAGTATGGGGTTTATTACTAGTTTTATTAAGAATCGCAATATGTTTGTACAACCTCTGTAAGAGACAAATTTGGTAGAGGACCATCTCTTGTTTAGGTTTGTGATATGGTAGAGCTAGTCTATTTTTAAATAAATATAGTTTAGATATTGTATCTTTGCGTTAAATGTAACTATTCCGAAAACTGTCCTCATATAGCTCTTTACTTGAAATAATTTGTTAAGCATAATAAACTTTTGTTTTAAGATAGTTAATATTTAACTTCATAACTTTTAAAGCTTCAGTGTTATACCAACTTGGGAAAAGCTATCACTGAATTCAGTGTGATTTTTTTTTTGTACCAGTAATATAGAATTGTCTTTCGTGGTATGCACAACTCTCTTACAAATGCAAATGCCAGAGATACTAATTTAACTTTTAGTTGTATCTGTTTGGTCTAACAATGTTTTTCTCCTGTTCTTTTATTTATTAAAGTTGGTGAATGATATATGGCCTTGACCATGCCATTCTTTTAAAGAGGGAGATTGAAAATGTCCCTATGTCAAATATATTATTCAAATAATGCTTCATCAGAAAATGATAGATTTGGTTTAGATCTAAAAGTAGGAATGTTGCTATAAAGTGAACCTGTTGGTTTTCTAACTAGGAAAAATCAAGTATGTGTATTTAGTAAACGTCTTGGATTGAAGGAACATAGGAGACCTTCTCAAAGAGTGATATGGCAAAGCATTCTAAAAACATTCAAGCATAATAATATAGTAACCTGCTATTAAAAGCAGAGGCATCCACAGGTGATGGTTCAAAAAAGTCAAGATGTGACTGCATCTTTAAAGCACCACGTTTTTTTTTCTTGTGTGTTATACTCATTGCATACAAATGAGAAGAGATACAGCTTTGATTGCATAGTTATATCTGCCATCTTGACTTTTTTTTACTTATACTGTGGATGCCCTGAATAAAAGAGGGAAAAGTCATATTGTAAGCCCCTTGACTCAACTCTTAGATTCTTAATCAATATGTATTGCATATAAACATGGGCTAATATTTTTGGGAAGGAATTCCAGAATATCTTAACTGCTTCTAATGCAAAATAACTGTTGTGTAATGCTAACCTAGAATTTGGACAGTTGTTATTTAAATGGGATAAATACATCCGTTCTGTTGAACAACATCCTCAGCAGTGGTATCATTGATACAATGAACTTCCATTTTGAATCATTCACTTCATTTTAGACGTTCCATAGTGGATAATAATTACATTATTATCATTGCTCTCCTTAGGGACCAAGCATCTTTCATGATGGAGTCCCTTCATTTTATTCTTACAACAACAGGCTTATAAGATAGACTACCTCAAAGCCAATCTGGCTACACCAAAGTCAAGTGCAGGCTGAAACCTATCCCATTACTGCACCTTAATCATTATTCAACCTTAGTATTGTGCATAGGTACAGCCTTTTTGTATTTTAAGTAAAATGCTTAACCACATACTTTTACAAGCACAAATATGTGTAAACTATTGGGAGTCAGATTTGAATTTCTCTACCAGGAAGGAATATATATATATTTCCTTCGGTTATATAATTGTGGTGTCTGAATGCATGTCGAGGGGGAGAAGAGAAAAATATGTATCTTTGTTTACGGAACCTTTGAATGCAATTGGATTTTTCCCCTACTAATTTATTATATAAGTCTGCCACTACATAAATACAGATAAGATTTCAACCATAGTTGAAATTATATTTAAATCAGTTAAATTTAATTTAGAGTAAAATATGATAAGGATCAGGCTGTAGGAATAATCATTTGAAAATGAAGCTCTCCTAAATCATCAAAATGTATTGGGTATAGATTCAGATTGTGTTACTAAGAAATAATATATAGAGCGTTTCTATTCTAATATAAAAAAATAGTTTATAGTAGTAAAGTGCAGTAATTCTGACATCAGCACTGGAGTTAGCATTTCTTTATTGCTGCTGTTTTTTCACTTTATTCGATTATTATTCTGTTCTTTGGTACTCATTGCTTCTTATTTTGGAGTTGTTAGTGACCATGTCTGAATGTATATAAAGGATGTTGAAGTATGTTTTGATACAGTAATTATAACTTCAAATTACATTTATATGGATGTGTGTATGTGTGTGTTTTCTGTGCTATAAAACTTTAATTTGGCAAGTAAGTAGTTTTTATACTGTACACAGCTCAGAGTCATATTGCATGACTTGGTGTGCCTTATCACTTATCAATAATTCAGTATGTATTATTTGCAAAAATTAACAAAGCAAATTGTATGAGCTATAGATTACAGTAGTTGAGTCATGGTGGACTTAGATGGAGGCTGCCATTATTGAAGTCTTAGTTTTTTGAAGCTCTCGATACTGCTGGGAGCATAGCCTCTGGCCTGCTTGCAAGAATCATTAATTGGAGACAAAGTATTGTGGTGGTTCCACTTCTACCTGGATGGGTAAGTCCAGGTGGTGGTATGGGATAGGAAGGTACTTTATTATGGAGTGCCTTAAGATTCTCTATTTTATTCAATATCTACATGAAACCATTGAGTCATCTGTTGGTTGACTTGGTTTCAGGGGAGGTGTGATAATTATACAATATGCAATGTCTCATTTACATATCTGCATGCTTAGCCTATTGGGAGATATGATGGAAGTCATGACCCCATGTCATGACCCAAGTCTTACAATAGGAATAGATTGCATTTGAGATAGTCATTCATACCTTTGTCATTTAGATATTAAATTAGTGTAACTTATTCTATGTAGGCTGTCCTTGAAGACCACTTGGAAACTACATAGTCTAGAACATGGCAGCATGTACATTTCACCTGCAAGACCTACAGTGATTACCAGTAATTTTCCAAGTGAAATTCAAGGTTCAGGTCACTGAGGGCTGGTTATCTTAGAGACTACTTTTCTCCAAGTGTTTCTGCCTACCATAAAACACCATGCAACATATCTGGAAAAACGATAGCTTGTTAAGGGTCCAAACCTATCAGGGCATGGGTGGGTGAGGTAGGTGATTATGAGCATTCTTTGTAGCTATTCCCCTGATTTGAAATAGTTTCTCTTCTTGGATGAGTGTGGCACCCTCATGGCTTCCAGATGTAGATGAAAACATGGCTTTTCGGAATGGTTAATTAAAAATAATAGTGACAGGTTAGCAGGTATATTTAAAATAATGGTAATCATTTTAATGTAGTGAAAATAACTAGAAAGGGTTTACAGTTTCAGTGTAATTGTATTTATTTTTATGGTGTTTTATATGTAGGTTCTGTAAGTCATCTAGAGTCCATTTGGTTGTACTCTGATCTCAAACACAGATCGGAGAAGAGTGCCTCAGCCATAATTAAGCACTTAATTAAAACTATGAATAGTACAATACAATAGCAGAGTTGGAAGGGACCTTGGAGGTCTTCTAATCCAACCCCCTGCCTAGGCAGGAAACCCTATACCATTTCAGACAAATGGCTATCCAACATCTTCTTAAAGACTTTTCATTAAACTAGACATACCCAGTTTCTGCAACCGGTGCCTGAGTTCAAATGTAAAATAAAAAATTACTGCAGGAAATTCAAATTACAGGTCTTCTAGTATCTACATTAAAGAAAGGAAATAGAGGAAAAATATACAAGCCCAACAACGTTTCAACAATGTAATGTTGAACATTGTGTAGTGTATCTACTAATAGGCCTTCAACTCTCCTGTGTGAATATTCCATCAAGCAAATTCAATTGGGATAAGTTTTTATTACATCTTATTGAGTCACACTTTTAGTACCGTAGCATTACATTTCTATCCCTGTGACTCTACATAGCTTTGATTGGCAGGTTTACCAATGGATGATATCCCCCCCCCCTTCAGTCCCCACCACATTTTTCATTTCATTTC